CCAATGACGATGAGCACTTGATTTTCAATCACCGCCTGGATCAGTTTTTCCTTCAGCTTGTAGATAGGCAAGCTCTGCCTCTGTTCCTGAATGGAGAGATTTGATCTCTGCCCGAAACTAATGGTTTTCCCATAGGCCTCTTTCTTCCACTCGGGCATTTCATAGGACAAACCAACACCTCTAAGCTGCTGCGCAAGATGCCTCTCGCCATTCTCTGGCATCGGATCTTCCCAGGGATGATTCAGATCCTTGGGGATAGAATCCAGCAATGCTCTCTGCTGTTGATCGTGCACTTCCCTACGCTCCTTAATGAGTGCAGGTTGAAGTGCAGCTGCGCGCCTCAATGACCCTTTTGGATTCTCACGGGCGACATCTCACCAAAATACCCCCAAGCAAAAACTGTGGCAGGTCCTCATTGTTATCAATCTCAGTCTGTTCCTCAGCTCCCTCTTATTGATAAAGCATGCCATCTGTTTCCTCATCATACATTGGATGCTCTGTCACACTCAGAACACCCGCGGCAATCAACTGTTTTGCTTCCCACCTCTCCGGCAAGCTCATTCTCTTCAATGCCCTCCGGCGTGGTGGGACAGCATCATCCTCATCCATAATCCTAATCCCAGAGAGGCCAGTCTTACTTCCATGCCCGTCCCTTGGCCCCTGTGGGTTTGTCCTAGGAGTGTCATCCTCCTCCGATCTCTTCTTCTTCAAGGGAACTAAATCCTTTTCGGTATGCTGATCAACATCCCTTATCGACAGGCTCAGCTTCTGACCCGAAATTGAAATCACCTTAACATAAACCTCCTCATCCCTCCTCACCACGTTCTTAGCATTACTAATTCTCCGATTTGTAATCTGCGAAACATGAACCAAACCCTCTTTCCACTCTAAAACCACTCAACCGAACGAAGCAGCCACTGCCCATCACCCTCGAAACCCTTCCCTTATAAACCCTAAACAATTCAGGCTAACACCGTTTTCCTTCAATTTGTCATCGAACTCATCTGCCGTCTGGCACTTAAGCCCCATGTCAATTACAAACTCCGCCACAACTTTGTCCCCCAACGACACATGTGTCTCGAGTTCCGAAAATACCTTGGAAACCAAGGAAAGGTATTCCAGATTCTTCAAACAATCAGCAGCGGCAGCGACCATGTTTGGTTTTGGAAAACCTAGGATTTTCTAGGATGTTTAAGAATGCAAGTTTGATGATCGAAGTCTGAATTACAGTCTCTGTTTTAATCCTTTTCCTTTTGGAACTGGGATTCCTCGCGCGGGATAATGTAGCTGGACCCACCAATATATTAGTCGCAGTTCTTTTCCATTTCGGTTTGGGATTCTTTTTTTTGTTTTAGTACTTCCATCGAACACTTTACGTGCATGCCAACAGAAACGCCCCGTCTTCGTTTCCCTTACCTCCCCACGCCACCCCCTCCGACATCCCCCACTTCATGCATACCGTCACACACTTCACCGGAAAAAACGATAGAGCAGGTTGAGCTTAATTAACTGGCCTGCTGGAGTTGATGAGACTCCATAGAATCGGGAGTGGGTTCAAACCAACAATTTTATAATTAATCATTAACAAATAAATAATGTGGCGATCAAATTTTTAAATCAAATTAACAAAGCAATGTTAATCAATACTTAACTAATAATTCAATATCAATAATCACATCTTTTGGTTTATAAATTTAATTTAAATAATTTAGTCTACCTACTATTATCTTTAAAAAATAAGAAAAACTAATGAAAAGATTTTAAAAACTTTGAATTTTAACAATAAAAAAAAAAAAAAGGGTAAAATGAATAGTACTTTTTAATGTAAAAATATTATTTTTCGTTAAAATGAACAATACTGGAAATTTTTCATTAAAGTTTCCTAAAGAAATATGTATACTGATGATTTGGGTGGGTTTTGAAAGATTGTAAATTTTCCTTTTGACACGAATTCTAATTTTTTTTTCCTTTTAATTTAAAAGGTAAATTCAGATTTAAAAATAATTTAATATAAATGTTACAGAAAAATATTAAATTTAACAAAAAATCAAACTCCATCTATTTAGATTTTGACAGAAACTCAAATTCTATCAATGTTTACATGAGTATTAAACATATGGACTCCCACCGTCTTGGTGTGGATAATATCGTTTGTTCAAAAAAAAAAAAAAAATGATGAGGCCAAAAATTTAACTATGATACGAATAATATAATAACCAAATCCTACAGTGAGATGGAAAATTCGAGCCTCTCTGACAGTTAAACATCTCCAAACCCTAGAAATCACAAATCTCACGGCTCCTGAGAATTTGAGTGTATTCAATTAAAATTTTAAAAAGATTTATAACATTTTAATTATGAAACAACTTTAAAAGTCTTAAGAATTCAAGAGAATTAGAAATGTTTCGTATTGCATCATAAGCATTCACAAATCTCACCTCATCCTTTGAGAATTTGAGAGAATTTAACCAAAATTTTATATGAAATCTAGAAATCAATGCTCCAGAAATCAATGCTCCATCAAAATCCGTAGATGTATAAGTTTATTAAAATCCCTCAAAATTCCAATTGAATACACTCATAGTCATGTATGCGGACGGAGTAAATTTCAAAAGATTGATCTTTTAGACAAATGAAAAAGAACAAAATATATTTATATTTCAGTTTTTTTAAATAATGGGAAGTTAGACATGGAATTTAACTTTTGAGGAAACACTTCAAAAAAAATAAAATAAAAACTGTTTGAACTTGTGCAGTAAAACAAGTAGAGCTGCTGCATAATAAGTATAAGTCGGTGCCAAACGAAGATGAGTAAAAATTAGAAGAAAAAAGCACAAAATATTGGGGCCGGAAGTGTTAAAACACCCCGACGATACATGGAGGAAAGAACGATAATTTGGGGCTGAAAAGTAATTGAGGAAATTGCAAAAGGATAATACATCTTTGAACACTAAGAGTGCTTCAGTTGTTTCTTTCGTAATTATACCAAGTTAACACACTTCAAACTCCCAGCTCCAGCTCCAGAAAAAAAAATTCAGATCAATTTCCCCTATTCCTGTATACATACAGAAACGTTTATGTCATCATTTGGAGAGAATGCGATTAAAAACTTGAAAAAGGAAACATAAAAATCACCAAATTGTTTTACTTGTTCATTAAGGTACTTAATTTCTAACCTTAAACCTCTTTCGGGGAGCCTGGTCCGCACTGAATTGAGAAACGCGTTGCTGGTACCGGGGAGCTTCACTTCTCTGATGTGTCGTTGTCAATTCTCGTATCCTACTGCTGTTCTGCTCTGGTTGATTTCTCGAGAATCGGAAGAATCCGTCCTTGTCCCATGTAACCTCATAATCAGCCCTCAATTTAGATCCTTCCTGCTCCATAGAAAGGCACATTAAACAGCTGATCAATAATTCCAAACAAAAAATTCCTTACAGCTTCTTTTAGCCTCAGCTAACTCTATGGTACCAGCAAGATATCTCAACGCTTGATTGACAATACTAGCTATAACAATATAATGAACAAAAACCAACTGCATACCTTCTGCAACGAGCGGCCACATAACACCTTGAAGGCATTATAGAAGTCCTGGTATGTCTCAAACTGAACCACAATCTTACAGTGGAGACCAGAAATTAAGTCATCGCCATCCTCATTTGCATCCTTACCTAGACCATCGTCCTCAGCAACATTAAGATTCCTAAAGATTGTAGTTAAAAACAGGCAGCAACACGAATGATGTATGATTAGCTACAGCCGTTCCATTACACCATGGACGCTAATGACAACACACACGAGCTATTAAGGCCATTCAAACACATTATAGTGCTTGGAAAATTGAAGACTACTATGTAGTTTTACATGTTCAGCTCAGTTCTAACAATTTTGTTTAGGCAAACATTTGGAACAAAATTACAATACACGAAAAGCTAAGCAGTTCAAAAAGTAGATTAGATTAGAACAAATACATTGCGATTTCTAGACGATAACGAGAAATAGAGTATTAAAACAAAGACATTGGCATGCCTTATCTTCCCAAATGTAGAAAATATGGTATGGGTAACCAGCACTGAAAACTTGGAGGAAGAAACCCGCGGCTCTGCAAACCAGCGTGATGGAACACCCCTCACTATTATCGTATCCGGCTCTTGCTTCCCCCTTGAAAACCCTGCAACCAAAAAACAACCAAATTTTATCAAACCGATCACATAAATTCAATAAAAAAATCCAACCCCCAAACCCAATCACTACAAACCCCGATTTCCGAAGGCGTAGAACTCCTCCCAAGCCTTCTTGGTGCCCTCGAAATCATCCGAATCCGGAACAACAACATTCAGCTTGTACTTAACCCCTTCGATGTTGAGCTCAATCCCGTCCATTTTCTCAACAATGTACTTTCTCCATTCCAGAAACTTCCTCTCCAACTCCTTCGCATCCTCTTCTTCTTCCACGTCACTTCTCTTCCCGCCCTTTTTCAGAAACCCTAGGTCGCGAATCACGAGAATGCCGAAAGCCACGGGGTCGTCGCGCTTCCGCTTCTTGAGGTCCCTGAGCCGCCGGATCTGGAGGTCGTCTTCGGGGACGGTGATGGGGACGGAAAGCGAGTTCTTGAGGAAGTCGATGAGCGTCCGCTTCATCTTCCACTCGTCGACGGGTTTCGTCACGACTCCGGTCGACGAGTAAACCGTGAGATTGAGCCTCACCCGCGGCACCAGCGAGAGTCCATTCTCTATCTCTAGGGTTTCGGTCGGAGGCAGCGAATCCAACGGCTTGGCGCTCATCGCTGTTTAAAATTAGGGTTTTGCTTCTGCAACAAAACAGAGTCTCAGGGCGAGCGGAAGAAGGAGCCACAACCCGTAAAACGCCTCGTTTAGTCTCACCATGCGAAACACGACGTCGTGTAAGGCAGACCAAATGACGAGACTGTCCTCAATTTATGACGTGGCACGAGGCAAATTATCCATACAGGTGGGAAGTATAAGTAAATTTACCAACAAAAGAAAAATGTCCCAGAATTTAGAAGTCAATCCGAGCAGAAGTCACAGATTGAAGAGAGAGAGAGAGAGAGAGAGGAAAGAGATGGGGCTGCTGTGTTGTTTCGATGGAGGCAACAGTGCACAGAGAAAGGAAGAAGAAAGGGTAGCCTCCGCGGAAGCTGTTGCCAAAGCTGCCGAAGCCGCCCAGAGAAGGTATGATCAGTTTTCTATTCTTCTTTTATTTAATTCGATCATTTTTCAATTTGTGAAATCGGAAATTTGAATTCGTTTTTGTGCATCGTCGATTGTATATTAGTTGCAACCAATTTTTATGTAAAAATGTGATTTTGGATTGATTTATAATTGTCATGTGATAAAGTTCAGATTTTTTTTTCTTTTAATTTGAAAAGGGATAGAGAATCAGATGTGGGTTAGGTAGTTCGCCTTGATTGGCACCCGATTTTAAATTCCGCTCCTCGTAGATTAGAGTAGTTTGAAAATGGGATAGGGATAAAAATAGGATGGCAGTGATGATCAGAATTCAGAGTTGACCTTGGTAGAGAGGAAAATGCATTACCATAGTTAATTCTTAGGCAAACTAATGAAAATGGCTTGAAAACTTTGAGGTATAACGTTAAGGACAAAATAAAGGGTAAAGTGAATAGTATAGGATTGGCATTTTAGTGTAAAAATGTGGTTTTTCGTTAAAGTAAACAGTACCAGGCTTTTCGTTAAAGTTCCCTTAATTCTTTGCAACTTACAATTGCTATCGGATTGTCTCTGCTTGCAAAATTTTGATTTTTTTTTTTTTTTTATGTCCAATACGTGCTTGTTGTGCAATTTGCTTTGTTTCAATAATAAAAATAAAAAATGTGCTGGCATTAATACTGTAATTATGAGGACAAGCAGTCTTGCAAACAAAACCTAAGTATAGAGTGTGAATGCTGATCATAACGCCTGCCAACGGTCGTATTTGCATTTAGTTAGGCAGATATCGCACAGTATTTGCATTTAGTTAGGCAGTTATCGCACAGTATTTGCATTTCGTGGTTGCATTACTTCCATGCCCACATGATGGTTTCGTTTCTTTCTTTGCTATTTACGTAAACTTATGTACTGCAACCAAAATTGCAGGCAAGAAGAATTTGAAAAGTCTGCAGCTGGAAGAGCTGCACGTGCACAGCAACAGCAGCAGGCGGCTGCAAAGCAAGCTGCCAGCTCTAACAAAGGCGAACCAGTATTAAAGGTATGAGTCGTATGACTGACTGAATTTCCAAGTATTCAATAATACCATAGGACTGGCGGATAGTGGTTATGCCAATCTCTGTCGCTTATTTGCTAATTAGGCATGATGCTGTGAAAGTACGGGCTATGATGGCACTCTACGATGCAGCTTATTCATATGATGTGCTGGGGTTTTGATTTGCCACCTTGTATAGTTCATATATTTGACTGTTTTTTGTTGATCTTGTGGATGCAGTGGTCAATGGGTTGAGGCCTTTTGTCTGTCTCTCCATCAACTCCCAACTGTAAGTCAATGAACGTTCCACCTAGTAAAACACAATAAGTTCTGCGTAAACTATAATCTTGTGATGGTTTGAACTTTTTGCATATAAGTTCATTTCAATTCCAATAGATGGATTATCTGTATGTGGTATAGCGTATAGGTTGAGATGAAATCTCATTTAGTTCCACAATTTTTGTTTTCGTTTCTCTCGCATTTAATCTTCACTTTGTCTGCAGTGTTTATACGTATACAGTATGTTTCGTGGATTGCCAATTCCTCTTGTGCCGAGTACAATACTCCAGATCTCCAAAGAAAGTTGCTGTTATCGATCGTCATTCATTTCGTCATTTGTTTTGCATATGGAATGTCAAGAAAATAATTACACTCGCAAAATTCTTGCTTTTGTGCATCTCTTAGGGCCGTTCATTTTTTGGTGCAACAACCTTTATTTTGATATTTCAGTTTTTGTTCATGGTTTGCTCCATCCAGTGGCAAACACAAATTAGGTTTTAACTAAAAGAAGTGAATAGATATGTACATTCAAATCATAAGAATCTGATACCAAGCAATGGTCGGTGGAACAAAAGTAACCTCTAATCTCACGAATAATTAGGAATCCACTAACTATTACACAAAGCTTCGAACTGGAGCTGAAAGCTGAAGCTCGTGCGCAGCTTGAAAAAAGTCTGCTGCTTGTTGTAACGATCCTTCCTTCTTTGAAATCAATCCGAGGTTCAACCACGCCTCGTGGTTTGTCGGTTCTAATCGCAGCGCGTTCATTAGAAAGCTTCTTGCTATAGGGAGTGACTGGCTACCGAGTTTCATCAACACTTCTGCAGTCGAAACGATGCTTGGAACATAATCTGGCTCTATCGACAACGAGACCGAGAAGGAAATCAGGGCTTCCTTGTATTGCGATTGAGCTTCAAAGAACTTACCTGCCGACAAATTGGACAAAAACATGAACCTATTTGCATGTTAATGCTCTAGGAAAACATTTCACGAGGGGAAAAATCGTACCTGTTGTATGCCAACTATGGGGAGAATAGAATTCAATCAACTTGGCTTTGTTGACGCATATTTCTGCATCAGTCCACAAACCGAGTTTTGTATAAACGGTTGCCAAGTCCCGCCAGGCTTCCTTTTCCAAATTGCTTTCCTCAAATGCCTGCAGAGCAGAGAAGAACAAGATGTTTACAGAGAAGCAAAAGCATACCGCCTTTCAACTATGCATATTGCAAAGGGTTTAGAATTAAAGAATACAAACCTCAGAATCAAAGGGTTTCTCTTGCTCGGAGTTTTTTGCTTTTTGATCCCTTTGTGCTTGAACAACAGTTAGCAACATTCTGTAGGTTTCTATTGCTTGCTTTGGATGTTCCTGAGCAACTTGAAGCACAGCTTTCAGTCTGAGCAGTTCTAACTGATCCACTCTTCCGGCTTCGTCCAAAGCAAAATCAACTATCGTTTCAGCATCCTTGAACCGCTGCTCTGCAGAAACTGTAAGCGCCAATAGCTTCCAACCTTGTCCTGAGCTGCCAGCCATCATATCCGAGTACTTCATTGCGTTACTGAAAGCTGCATCCAGATTTCTTTGCACTGCATTTTCGAGGCCCAGACTAAACAACACCTCAGGATCCTCCTTCCCGTTAAGAGCAGCAAGGTTTAGAGAGTTCAACGATTCACTTTGAAAATACACTCTTTCAGAATCCGACAGAGAAGCCCTTGCTGCACTGCCATAGCAAACACCAAGATATTTATGGCATTGACCCATGAAATGCTCGCATTGATGATTCACCAAGTCAATAGCTTTACGCGAAAATTCTATCCCTTCGCAAGCATGAATTGGATCTTGTGAGCACAATTTTGCTCCCAACAGAAAAGAAGGAAAGTGGGGCTTGTTCTTTGCTTCCGAACAGCCTGCAACCTTCTTCAAAAGGTTCAAGGCTACTTCATTTTTTCCACAGGCACTATAACAAAGAGCAAGAAAGTACCATCTCTCCGCTCGTCTATATAATCCCGGAAGAGCCTGCTCCACATGATCTGCTAATAATTCATACAATCCGGTAACAGAAAGAGCATAAGTCAGATGATCCATGATTTCTGGATCCCACTTTATCTCTCGCAAAGCCACCTTTTTCATAAGAATTACCAACAACAGAATTGCTTCTTCTGTATTATTTTTAGGCATAGTTATGCCCCATATTTGTAACTGAGGGGGAAGGTTTGCTTCAACACCGCCATAGAGTAATGTGCAAGCTAAGCTTTTCTGAATAGCAGCTAACCTCTCCGGTTCCAAATTCCATGGCTTGATTAGAGCTCGGCGATATGCAGTAATAGCCTCGTCAAGATAGCCTGCCTTTGTCCATAAATTGGGGAGCAGCTCGAGTGCTTTGTGAAACATGTCTGGCAATTTGCAGTCCTCGCCAATGTCTTGAAGAAGCATTCCATTAGGTAAAGCTGATTCAACCGTATCAAGAATAACTTTGCACTCCTTTGCAGCATCTGATGAATATGACAGCACAAAAACATGCAAACTAATCAATACTAATCAAAATTTCATCATAATAATCTGATTGCAATCTAATTTACTGGGAAGTTCTTGGTCGATGCAATATATACCAATCTCAATCCAATGCTGAATTATACTACAACACAAAAGTGTAAGCAAATACCCATATATCTTCCAAGTTCTCCCAATGATTTTGCCTTGAGTAATATTGCTTCAATAAGTAGGCTCACAGAGTGCATTGACATTACACTGGGAAGAACCACATTATCGCCTTTCGTGCGCGGCTTTCTTTGCCTAGTTCTCTCCACGATAGCCTTGGCCATCCGCGGGGTTAAATTTTTAATTTCAATACCTTGAAACACCTGAAGTGCAGCATCAAAATTCCCCCTTTGGAATTCAAGCCTCCCCAACAAAGCTCTAGCTTCCTATAAGCCCATCGAAAAAGACGATATTAAACACTAGTAAAAGTAGAAGAAGGAAACCAATTAATCATCAATCGACAATCTTAGGGCCCGTTTGATAACCATTTCGGTGTTTAGCTTTTGGGTTTTAGCTTTTAGTATTCCTAACATGAACTTCAATTAATGAAACACACACACTCACCTCATAATTCAAAGATAGAGCTTCTTTAAGAGTGGATTCAGCTTCATCCACTTGAATATCTTCAAATTTGGACTCCCAGTCGCCGGTCCTAGACGAAAGGCCACTCGCCGAGAAGTCCCTCGTGGCAAGGGACTCCGGCGAGTGCGGCGGCTCCTCGAATTTGAATTGCTCTCCTGAACAGGCACACAACATCTTCTCCACAAATCTTGGACCCCTGTGATTCGATTCACGCACAATCTTGGGGCAAAAAATTCACTTCTCTGTGATTTGTTTCATGTCTGCACACACCTGGAAATAGTAAAACATCAAAACATGTCAACATGTCACCGTCATTGAAGAAACAAAAACAAATGCAAGCAACAAAATTATGAGTTGTACGGATTTTACTATGAAAAAATGGTCGGAAACAGAAAGCAACAACGTAGATCCCCACAGCAGCATAGGCAATGCCGAACAAGAAACAACATTTGCAAACAAAACCCAACAAATCCGAGTTTTTTAATGTTAAAAACCCATAAAAATACTGGAAATTAAAGGGCATAGATTTGGAGGCAAAGACCGAGTCTTTGAAAAGAACATTGAGGAAGTTGAAAAGGGCGAGACAAACGAAGAGGGACAGGGTTTTTTGAACTTACCCTAGAAAGAAAATCACAACCCAGAACGTGATTTGTAGCAGTCGTGGAATATTTGAAACCAACCTCTCACTCTCTCTCTCTCTCTCTCTCTCTTCACTCTCTCTCTCTCTCTTGTCTGATTTTTAAGGGTTTTTTTCTTTCAGAAATTCGGAATCTTTTTGTATTTTTCGGGTTCAAAAGAACCCAATGAAAATGGTGTGACGATGGAGGGAAAAACAAATATTACAAGGTGGGATGAGTAGATGATCAGATTTTTTGTATGGTTTAGTTGTCTTTTTCGATCTGCTGACTTTGTTTAGTCCAGAAAGGATAATAAAATTTTGCCTGCCTAGTCAAAAGTTGTTGCAGACTTGTAGGCCTCACACATTAGCATTTGCAATCTAAAAATGTTCATGGTAAACTACATGATTAGCTAATCTAGTTATGTTCTTGCATCAGTGTGGTTATGCAAATGAGATTCGTTCATTAAAAATTAATTGTCGACATATCATTGATAATGTGTTGATATCAACGGACGTCCTTTCTTAAAAAATTTAAGTTTTAACATGTCATTCATATCATAAACGCTAACATAATGTACTGAGATATTAACAATTTGTGTGCATTATGTAATTAGAGAGAAGTTTTGTTGCTTGGATTACTATTGAATCTAAATGGGAGGGAAATCTTGTTGAATGAATTAAATCCAAAATTCCACAGTATGTTGAATTCGAAGTATATGGCTGGAATGGTAGCTGCCCCCCTGAAGGAGAAGAGCATGTGCTGTGGTTGTGGATTGCTGACTTGGCTGCCTGGTTGGCCTCTTTATTTGTTTAGTTCAACTAACATGAATCATTCTGAATCATGATACCATGCCCAAGGCAACGAGGGGATGAGTACAAACTACTCTCCAACGGACCAACACTATTGCAATCATTTGTGTTTTAGAATTAGATAGATCTCTTTACCCTTTTTACTTACTTGATTTATTGTTTTAGGGTTGTTAAAATTCGCTTCGTAATGTGTCATTTGGTTATTTTTGATAAGAATAATGTTATTCAGATTTTTTAAAAAACAAGTTTAAATATAACTTATTGACGTTTGTAATATCTGTTTATACCGCATGTACTATAATGAGTACAAAATACAATGTAAACTTTACTACAAATACTGAAAGGGTCAACAAATTTCACTTGAATTTTTTTTTAAAGAGTGTGATTTGAAGTCTAATAATCACGTGTATGAATTAAGGCATTATTTGTGCGTGAATTAATTAATTAATTTATTTTATAAATAAAAAAAAAGACAATAGTTGTAAGTCACGATTATTTACTTATTTTTTATTCGGAGAGACTATATAAAATTTTACCCTATTCGTAACCAAAGTCAAGCTGACTCATCAGCTCAGAGCATCTAACTTTGAACCTCACATATTTCTTTTGCTTATTGGAGAGTCTCAGTTCGCGTTCTTACCACTAATTCATTTGTTGTGGTTGGGTGGATTAATTTATTTGATGCGAAGATTAAGCAAAAGCAGGACATCATGGTACCAATATTTAGATAATAATTATCCTTTTGCCTTTCTTTCTCCCAGTATCACACCAGCACGTTGCTCAAGAAGAACATACACACCCCAATGATCGCATTAAGTCCAATATTCCAATATATAAACACACCCTGCAACGAGATTGGCGCATCGT